ATAGCTGACAAACTGCCAATTGATATTAGTTGTATGGAGTTTATGTCAAAAATCGATCTAAATTCATAGAATTTGATTGAGACAGGTTATTGAAATTATCAGTAAGTGACTACAACATTTGACACAGAATGGATGGATTTTTTTAACGTGATCTCATAATCCCCTGTTAAGAATTGATATTATGACAAAACCCTTTTATGTAGAAGAGGATAAAAGTATGTAAGAGGTCGTGTGGTGGCCCGGAGGTTAAAGAAGCCCGCTTCTCATGAATGAGGGTGCGGGCTCGAAACCTACCAACGGCATGTACCAATGTGATTTTTTTCGAGTTATATGTACTTTCTAAGATTATCTGAACTCCACTGACAAACGGGGAAGGAAAACATCGTGAGAAAACCTGGGCTTATAATTTCTAATCATAAGTTTGTAATCACCAACCCGCATTGAGCAAGCGTGGTGATTAATGCTCAAACCTTCTCCGTGTGAGAAGAGGCTTTGCTCAGCAGTAGGTATTTATAGACTGTTGATGAAGTAAGAAGTTGTGACAAATTCTTACTGATTAAAAACCACCCCGTTCTTCGAACCGAAGTCTGAACTTTATACTTGTAGGTTAAGTCTTCAATGTAATCGGAATTATATACCTAATGTTCTTTAGTAGACAAAAAGTTATTTTTATACAAAAACTTTACAACTATGTCACATAATAGTTTAGTAGCCTATAAAACAGTCATCAGGGTTTATTGTCGCCTCGTGCGTAAAAACCACAAAGTTAAACTGCAAAATAAAATTTGTGCTTTATTTATGTGTAAGTTAAACTTCAAAATCAAATGAACGTAATGTACCTACATGTATTTTTCCTTTACATTACAGTTTTTTATTCCCTAAAAGGTAAAGGTAGTCTAGAGTGACCTTTTTAAACACACGATTTACGCCTTTATGTGTTGAGTCATATGAACGTTTTTTTAAGTAAACAGTTATTGGCTCCCACTGTTTTAGCATTTAGTTTGTACAATTTTTTACGTGGAATAGTCATACTTTGCCAATATCACTGCCTCACTGTAAACCAGCGTGAAACTATGATACGTTATGAGTGAGGTTACCTGAGGGCCAAACCTCACCCTAATCTCCAAATTCCCAAAAGTTCGGAAATGTACTCGTAACTCTTTTGTTGTTGTGTGTATCGACGGGAGAAGCCGATGCCTCAGCGAAGCCGCTCGTTTCCCGACCTATACCATTAAAAACATATCCAAACTCTTTGGGTGATTCATTTCATTGTTTTGTAAACGAAAATAGTACGTAGCGTAATCCTATTTATTATTGAACAACATGGCGTAATTGTAAGTTGTAAAACAGTATTTACATCAGAATGCAAAACTAATAACATTACTAAACAAAAATCAATAACCTCGTGATTCGCGCACGACTCAAAGAACCATCAGACCGCCACAGACGGGGCCCACTAGGGCTGATGTTATAAGGTCAAGCGCAATAATTTACCGCAGCCCGGTTTGAAGCAGGAACGGGGTGGTTTTAAGTCAGGAAGAGTGACACTGACTCTCGTCTCACATAAGTCTTCATGACACCTGATACGGTATAGCCAATGACGGTTTTTTATGGGCTATGCCGATGAACGAGCAAACGGATCACCTAATGGTCAGCAATCAGCGCTGCCCATGGACACTTGAAACATTTGAGGATTGTGGGGGATTCGGGGATTGTACCACCACAGATGGGGCCCAATAGGGCCGATGCCGATTCGGAGTCGCGGAGAACCTAACGGGTAACCGGGGCTCCGGCTCGACGTGCAGGAGAAGGAACGGGGTGGTTTTTAGTCAGTAAGAGTCTGACACTCCCTCCCGCCTCACCCAGGCGGGAGCAGTCATTCGATAATTTTCCCCCCTTAAAAAAAAAACCAGGGACTGCCCTGGTTAGTGTAGAACTATTGTTGATAATGGTTTTTTTTTATCACGTGGGGAGACCTTCGAAAGTCGCCTAGCCTTTTTGTGATAAAAGAATAGGGAGTGTGGGATTTTTACCTCACTAACACCACCCTGGTGGCCACCCTCAACACCCGTATGGACCCACGGGGTTCTCTAAAAGTGACGTGCTCCGGAACCTCCACGGTACAACGCCTATTATGTCACATTCCTAGGGAGACGGGTGTCTCCTTTAGCCGAAACAATGTAATTGTTACACGTAAAAATGGCATTATAATAATTATAATAATTATAATCTGTTCTTTTTTACAATATAGGTACTATTGTTACCGGCAGTATCGTGTTTTTACTACAGTCTTAAAATTTGATACACATTTTACGCTTGTTATTTATGAAAAAGTTGTAAAGTTATAACGAATCCAATTGGTGCTGGTCCAGAAGAGAATAAATTAAGAAGGAAACTTTTTAATAAATCCGTTGACCTTAATTTAAGTGCGAAGAAAACGTGATCTTGTTTGGAACGAGTTGAGTCGAGCAACTGGTGGCCATCTTGAAATTTTTAGTAGTAAGTTTTATATAGTTAAGGAGTTTGAATTTTGTCCGACCTTTATTTATTTAGTAGGTGCTGCTAGTGACTACTAACATCTGATTCGTTAAAATTGGTTAGAGCCATATGTAGCCAAGCCATCGGTCATTTTTTGATAACAATTAGTGATAGGATAAAATGTCACTTACACTGCATTAATACCATTTGTTGAGCACAAAAGTGACATTCCTCAGTGTAATGTAACTATGAAAACGGCCGGTTCTTCAAATTTTGAACATACTCTAACATGGTATCATCATAAGTATCAGCCAAGAGAACTCCACTAACATAGGTCTCTTAAATGATATCCAAATCAGCCAGTTAGTCGCGGAGAACCTAACGGATAAATCAGTAAGAGTCTGACAGTCCCTCCCGCCTCACCCAGGCGGGAGCAGTGATTCGATGATTTTCCCCACTTAAAAAAAAGCCAGTTAGAAGCAATGCATCCATGCATTTAATAGTTAATACAATTTCGTCAGCTTTGAAATTAATTATTATGTTTTTGGGATAACTTGCGAAATTATGTGACGAGGAACCCGACCATTTTCAAGCCATACTAGAGGCCCATATTCATGAGCACCATTCCGTGACACAACAACGACGCGGTGACTGTCGCGTTCCTACGACGATTACAGTAACTAAAACATAATTAATTTAGTATGTCTTGTTGGCCGAGTGGTCGCAAGTGGGACTGTCGGGCAGGGGGTCTCGGGTTCGATTCCCGGTCGGGCAAAGGTTTACTGGGTTTGTAAAATAAAATTCTCAGTAGTAGCACAGAGTCTGGTATAAGGCAATAGGCTCACCCCCCATTATATGTATGTTACTCAAAGCATATATACTAAGTAAATAGTGAAAAGCGAGTGTAATATTATACAGTACCATTAAGCGCCGTAATGTGCACCTCTGCCTACCCCTTCGGGTATAAAAGGCGTGATGTCATGTTATGTCTCATGAAAGTTATAATATAAATACAGATTTAAAATTTTTACAGGTGCTATGCATATAAACGGGTATATCACACGAACGAAATATCATATTTACCTAAGTTTATATTTCAGTATGCAACTACGCAAAATGCGCCCAGAAAAATATTCTTCAAAGAGCAGTAGGTAAATGCAGCGTATTTTTATAGCATCAAAGAGTTTGTGTGGAATTTTTATGCATATCATGTTGATTTCTCTTTTATGCAGTTGGCCATTTTGAGTTCAGTTCAACAGTACCTATGACTTTTGAAAGGAGCTGTTTATTTATGTCATAGGTAGATAATATCAGTTTAAGATCTTGACTATGAAATCAGGGATTCTTTTTTTAAAAAAATGAGAATGTAATTTGTCTGTGTCTAGTAATAATAATGAGAATAATGTTTATTTCAGAAAATATTTCAATTTTGTTGTGTCCTGGACCTGACACTTTTTTTTTTTAAGGGGGGATAATCATCGAATGTCTGCTCCCGCCTGGGTGAGGCGGGAGGGAGTGTCAGACTCTTACTGACTAAAAACCACCCCGTTCGTTCTCCTGCACGTCGAGCCGGAGCCCCGGTTACCCGTTAGGTTGTCCGCGACTCCGATGGACCTGGCACTAGGATTATCTGTGTCGTGAGGTCCAGGCTCCCTAACAAACAGCAAACAGAAACCTAAGAAATATATTGTTTTAGCAAAACTTAAGGTCTACTTCTACTTACATCTTCAGCGAATATAGACTTGATACTAAGCATTGATCGCTAACAATAAGACCACTTACCAGGCGGCATCGAAAACATACTAATCGCCCGATACTCAATGCGACACGTATGCTAGATGTAATGTAACTTTTACCCTTATTTCAATCGCCATAGGGATCTCTTTCGCTTACTTACAAAATAGTGTAAAGCATGACCACATGAGAATTTAATCTTTGTCTCTTCTGTCTTATGAGTGATTTTTGCTTACCGTAGAAATAGTGTGTAAACGTTTTATAAAGTAATATCATAAAATCGGTTTACGTCTAAAGTTAGATGACATATTGCGAAGAATATTTTTGTACCGTACTTTATTCGACTGGATGTATGTTGTCATTTGAAGTATTGATTTCTTTATAATACCTGTGTTATTTGTGTTTCACGTGTAAAGTTCGTGGAAACTATTGATAGGCATCGACATCGTACATCCGAAATCCATCGTCGGCATCATTTTATAGGAATAAAAGTTCGCATAAAAACGAATTTGTACGATTGTTTTCATCTCCAGTTATACATTATTTAGGTACTTTTTCAATTACAATCGTCATTGCGGCTGTTAAGCGTGTCGCGAGTTAGATTCTCGGATGGAACAACTCTTTGTATAATCTACTAATTGTTATTCCCGGTCTGGGTGCGACCTGTGACCTGTATGTGAATTTGTATGATCGTAACGTAAACGCACCCACTACATAGGAGATAATTCTATTGCGGGACAACGTAAGAAAGTTGATTACCTATATAAAGTTATTGTTTTTGTCTCCAGCGCGATGCCACCTCCGCACACGCTGAAGGTGGAAAATTGCTCGTCGCACTGCACGACGCCCTCCGAGCGTCAGGATAACGTGGTCTCCGTGAAGGTCGGCTTCATACACATTAACCCTGCTTCGAAGTAAGTTCGGATTTGGAATTATTTTGAAGATATACGACCTCAAAGGACATGTATAATAGGTTTTAAAAAAAAAAAATTGAATTTCGAAAAAGTAGTTTGTAATATTAGAAATGCGGTTCTGCGAAATTGTAAGTGATTCTAAAATAACCATGTATAGATTAAGCTATAGTTGGAATAGCTGATATGGCTCTGGGATTAAAATAAATACTTTTTAGATTGGTGCCCGCATTCCTTGAAATTCAAATCGATATGAACCACCAACAAAATGCCTGAACAGTATAAATAAAAAAAAATATACAGACGAATTGAAACTCCACCTTTTTAACACGTTAACGGCCGCGTTGGTCACTCGTGATCTACGTTAGCGGAGGATTTGCCTTCAACAGTTTTTTGTCGACAGTCAAAGGCTTTTTTTTAAGAGGGGAAAATCATCGAATGACTACTCCCGCCTGGGTGAGGCGGTAGGGAGTGTCAGACTCTTACTGACTAAAAACCACCGCGTTCCTCCTCCTGCACGTCGAACCGAAGCCCCGGTAACCTGTTAACTTCTCCGCGACGCAGTCAAAGACTTAAGAGTCGATTAAAAATAAATTTCATTCAAAATAAGGACCTGGAAATGGTAACCCTAACATTGGATAGATAGATAATGCTAAGAAAATGCTAATCCGAAGCGGATAAAGAAATAAATGGACGAAACAAATAAATAAACAATCAAATAGTCTTTTAAAGGATTTAGGAGAAACATTGGCACAACAAAGTAAATAGCGTCCCTTCCAAATAGAAAGGAGATGGTAGAGGACGTAGGTAAATAATTAATTAATATTAAGTAGTACTTATGCCCTGTTTGGACTACGCTAGTATTTTGGTCGAGTAGCGAGTATTTAATAACTCTTTCTCGCTTCAATTTTGGAACAGAAGCGGCATAGGACTACTAAATACTCGCTACTTGACTAAAATACTAGGGTAGTGTGAACAAGGCATAAGGGGTATTGAGTTCGTTATACCCTTGTGTGTACTACCATCTTTAGTTTATTTGACGTTTCTTGTGATCTTCCTTTAAAGCTTGTGGGAATATAAGGATTTGCTATTAATAACAGGGAATATACGGTGCTTGTGTACTGTGGCTAATATTTTTTTTTATTTGCATGGAATTTACTTGACAGACATTTATGAAGAGGATGTTTTTTAACTATAAGCTTAAAATTGACTTAATAACGAGGTAAAACTATATGATTGTATCTATATTATGCCTCTGCATTACAGGAAAAACAGTGTTTAGTACGATTATCAAGTTATTCAACAGTAACAAACAACATGTTTTCACAATGACTAGCAAGTAATAACATCTAGGTACGACATAGGTATCATCTGTTTACTTTCATGGGTACACAAACACATAGTGTCTACATATTATTCTACGTCTTTGTTAAACCCAAGTCCACAAACAGGTAATAAAATTTGGGACCCAAATCTGATTGCCTATTCGTGAACAGTATTTCAAGGCTACTCAGTTTTGGGAAACTTAGTAGAAGGGAACTTAGATTTGCGTTTGATGCAAATTTTAAATAGTTATTTCGCATATAGGTGTAGTTTAGTGGTTGTACTTACTTCCTTACTATGATAGATATACAGATAATGTATCTTATACTATGACTGCCTCGTTGGTTGACCGGCAACTGCCGGGCAATGGGTCTTGGGTTCGATTTCCGGATTGAGCAAATTGTTATGGGGTTTTAAAACATACCAGTAGTAGCTCAAAGCCTGGAATCGTGCCCGGTATATGACAATATTCTCATACCCACCACACATGGAACTCATACCATGAATAGTGAATAGTGGGTGTTACATTGTACAGTGGCATTGCGTGCCGTAGATAATGTGTACCTCTGCCTACCCTTTTGGGGATAAAAGGCGGGATGTTATGTTGGGTTATGTGTATCTTATACATCTTTTTTTATAAAACTGTAGTGTTTGTTTGTTTGTCTGTTTGAATGCGCTAATTTCCAGAACTACTGGTCCGAAATGAATAATTATTTTTGTGTTCCATAGTTTATTTATCAGGGAACGCTATAATCTATGAAACATCAAGCTACGATCAATAGGAGCTGAGCAGAGCGGGTGGAATAGCGTAGGAAGTAGCTAGTGTACCTACAAATACCTATGAATAATTAATTAATTGTATTATTTTTGTTGTATGTATTTAATTATTTAATGTTCCGCGGCAATTCGATTTTGGTCTGTGTCGGACGCACGCGCGCAACTCTAGTGGCAACACATCACTCACTATTCCTCTTCCCCCGCTTCCCCGCCACTGACCGGTCGACGCTTGCGTAGGAGGGTCACGCAACATATTAACGAGTCCTGCGCCGGAGCCGTGACGCAAGCGTCCCAAGCAATCTAGGTTCTATTCATACCATACGCGAGATTTATGGCAACATTCGTTCACTATTATTACGTAGCAACCTTTACAATTGAATATTATTTTAATAAATGTTCTTACTTACATATTTCTTACGAGTGTATTGAAAACCTTGAATTGATAATGGGTATCGCTGATATGTAATTTTGTTAGAGATTCTATAGGGAACTTAAGAAGCTGTATTGTTATATGGATTCATTATTTGTTGGGTAGCAATGCTTTGGACATTTGTACCGCGAAATATTTGAGTTCTATATTATTGTGTATTATTGTGCAACCTTAAGTTTAATCTAATATATAAAGTTTTACAGTTATCCGTGTTTCGGACTTCATTTCACGCCCCTGAGAACCCATTAAGACAACGAAGTTTATTAAAAAAAAAATATTTTTTTTTAAACGTTGCCATACTCTAGGATCTTCTCCTGTGTCGTGAATACGTTTACAAACGTATAAATTCACCCACACATGATACCCAAACCCGAAACAACAATTTGTGAATCACACAATGTGTTGTTCCGTGCGGGAATCGAACGCGCTGCACGGCAGCCGGTTGCCGAGCCATCGAGCCAATTGTGCAGTCAATAAAAATACAAAGCAGAGGATCGAACACCTTGATCGCTACTCTCATTATGCAGCAAGTGACATTACCACATAATTAATTCAAGGAATAACTAAAAGATGGCGTTTTGTACGGCGAATGAATACCCTGCTGCATCACATAAGGTTTTTTATCCATTTTTTTTATTATGAATCCCTATTCTCTATTCATAAAAGTTCAGTTCCAATCAAATTATTATTGTTAATACCATATAGTACATCGGTATAAGCGTTATTCTTAACATTTGAAATGTAATCTTTGTATCAATATTTAACCCCGCAGTTTAACAAAAGGGTGCATTAACAAGGGACTATGAGAACAAATTGTGAAAGAAATTTGCTTATACAAATACCAGAGGTCAAGATCTGCTCAAACATTATTAATTCCTTACAATTTCTTATAAAGAATACTCGAAAAATAGGGTATTTACTTAAAATATTCGTTTGTTGTTTTTTTTATTATGAAATTCCTTCTGTTTTATTAAATCTTGGTCGCCGTAATCGAATATCTGCTTTCTAATTTTGTAAGGGTAAAACTTCTTTCTAACTGACTTAAAAAAATGAAGTAGGCAGTTTGACCTATATATATGTACATATATGTGTTTTGTGCGAGATTATCTTGTGGTTGGGTGAACAGATGCATTAAAGCAGTTTTCAAAAAAGTATATGTTACACTTAGTAGGTCTTAGGATAGATATAGATGTCGCGGAGAACCTAACGGGTAACCGGGGCTCCGGCTCGATCTGCAGGAGAAGGAACGGGGTGGTTTTTAGTCAGTAAGAGTCTGACACTACCTTCCGCCTCACCCAGGCGGGAGCAGTCATTCGATGATTTTCCCCTCTTAAAAAAAAAGGATAGATATAGATAGAGTAATTAACTGCGATCAAAAAGAAAGAGGGTTGAAGTTGATATTTTAAACGTATTTTATAAAAGGTATTGTATTTTTAGGCTTGCTACCTTTTGTTTGTTGTGGCAATTAATAGTCTTATTCTGTGGCCCTGTCACTAATGGTTTTTATTCAGTGAGAGTCTGACACATAGATATAATAAAGATCTGACACTTCCAGTTTTTTATGGGAAACGAGCATACGGATCACCAGATGGTAAGCAATCGGCGCAAGCCACGGACACTCAGAACACCAGAGGCGGTACAAGTGCGCTACCGACCTTTTGGGGTAACCTCACTCACACGACGAAACACAACGCAAGCGTTGTTTCACGTCGGTTTTCTGTGAGGCCGTGGTATCACTGCGGTCGAGCCGACGCGTTCGTGCAGAAGCATGGCAACCAACCAACCTTGAAACTTATTGAAAACCTACCACAATTCCAGACTACGTACTGTTAGGGCAGGCTTAAACTGTCAAACAGCACCCGAGCGTACGGCGCGTCGCGTTCCGCGCGCGCCTCAAAGAGCCATCAGACCACCACAGATGGGGCCCAACAGGGCCGATGCCGATTCGGAGTCGCGGAGAACCTAACGGGTAACCGGGGCTCCGGCTCGACATGCAGGAGAAGGAACGGGGTGGTTTTTAGTCAGTAAGAGTCTGACACTCCCTCCCGCCTCACCCAGGCGGGAGCAGTCATTCGATGATTTTCCCCCCTTAAAAAAAAAACTGTCAAACAGCGCGAGGACACCGGTGACCGCAACCTATTGTTCTTTAATTGTGTCTATAATGACGGTATTCAACGAGTTAAATTTTCTTTTACGAGACCGAAGAGTAACAAGAAGATTTGTCTGTTTAAATATTTGTAATAAACTTGGTCATTAGGGCATTCTGCCAGAAAATACTTCGTAACACATTGACTTTCGAAAACTACTGACATTTGAGAAAAGTTTTGACCAAATGACAGGTTGAGAGGGTTATTAAATTCTGTCTGAGAAGTTTTTGAGAATTGCCTAGTTATTTTCATCTTTATAGTCTGTGTATTAAAGCTCAAAATACATCGGATTCATTAGCGAGATAATTTATTGCTAAAATGTAAAATCACATTATTATGTAAATGGCATACAAATAATTTTTCACAAAATAAACTTTGGACTTTTAATCATGTTTGATTTGAAGTTGAAAATATTTAATTAATGAAAATAGAAATAAATAATTTCAATACCCAACAACATAATATTTATACTTTATATTTTTATTTAACCTCTTTTCGGTTACACAAATAAGTTACTGGCCGGTAGCAAAATTAGAAACATTGTTTTTTAATGGCTAGAATGTCGTTCGAATTTAGAACTACACATTTTAGTTCGCATAGTTTCCCGCGCTAACGTTTCGTTTTTGTTTTTCAAACAAATTTCAATAGACGTGAAAGTTTTGATTAAAATGTGTCGCCACAAAAATTTTGAAATACCTACGAAATTAAATAATAATGTTTCTTGTGATATAAGTGAATGCAGTCGATTAGTGAAATAAACTTATTTCGATATTAATTATAAGGTGTTGCGTGTGTTGTGTGTAAAAAGATGAAAGACCAAATATATTCTGTAAATAAAAGATAAAGTTAGCCAGCTGTTATGCAAACCAGGTAATCATAATTATTATTAATGGTGTTATTTGCTATACAAATGTAGTTATAATAGTGAGTTTGTAGTGAAACAAGTGAATTTATTTCTGCAAATAGGCTACAAGGCAGCAATTTTAGTGATTGTTACCAACGTTAATGACACGTGTTTTATCCTCGAAAGTCTTGTTTGTAAGTACCCTCCACACACGGGTAGAATTAATATTACCTCATGTAACTCACTTTTCGTCAGCTACGATTGTCTCATGTAAAAGGAGGTACGCCAGTCGTGCTGCAATAAATGAAACTAACAATTGTTATAATGAAGTTACGTGTTAAAATGTGTTACAACATTACATATTTCTCTTCAATTCCTTAATGCACTGTATACGTGATTAATTTAACCACAAACGGTAAATTTAACCGCAAACATTTTATGTCCAATTCGTTAAATTCTTACGTTTCAATAAAATCAATAATTAATTTAGGTATATAGAGGTAGGTACTGTGTAATGACAAATAAAGAATATTATAACCTAAAGCCAGGTAATTTACAAAAGAATTATGTGATTCGTAATTTATACCTATGTAATTCCTTCACTGACGTATGTGCACCACAATATTGTATTTACCCAAGGGGTTTTTAAGTGGAGAACATCGTCAAAGCGCTCCCCTCGCTTCACCCAAGGTGAACTCTTACTGAGTAAAAACCACCCCGTCTCAAATAGTAATTTAAAGATTGATGTGCAAAAGTGATACTTTGTAACCTATTTTCAGAAACAAATATAATGTATGTACTCCAGGGTGCTTACCAATCCAAACCAATCTCAATGTCAATGTAATTTCAATCCAATAAAATCTCAATAACTATCCAATGTCAAAACTATACAACCCCTATCGTAGCTGTTAAAGTAGCATTCAGAGTACGGAATATAAAAATAAACTCAATACCAATTATTTCATGAAATATCCACGCAATACGGATGCAATGGGCTCTAGTGTTGCAACTCAAGAGTACGAAATTTCACAATGTCAATGTCGATCGATCGGAATTGGATTCAAGAGTATGCCCCCTGTTCAGAGCGGGGCCGCGGTACCTTTATTGGGCTTTTTCCTGCAGTGCAGGCCATCGGCCCTAGTGGGCTCTGTCTGTGGGGGTATTCCGTGGTGCAGAACGTGACGCTACTACGCTCGGGTCTAGTTCGGGCTGAGTATGAGTTTGTTCTATGTCTAACGTGATCGAAACATTATAATTATTGCGTTCGGCGCTGATTGGCCAGCTCCAATGAACTTGTCTTGTTCAGGCGACGAGCTACCCTTGCTCGCCGTTTGCAAACCTACCATTTTTATGACACAGCACAGAATATGGTATTTTCATATTCATATTTGTAAGATCATCAAAGATACACTGGCTCGAAGTGCAGGAGTAGGAACGGGGTGGTATTTAGTCAGTAAGAGTCTGACACTCCCGTTCACCTTAACCGGACGAGAGAAGTCATTGGATGATTTTCCCCCATCAAAATAAAAATCATCAAAGAAATATCAAAAGTACCGATTTAAACGTTGGTGCATTATATTAAGTAGTCATTACCAAAGAATACCTATTTAATGATTACGTAGTAACCACTATAGGTGTACGACTGTACGTGTTTGACGTACATACTTTGAGGTTACTATTACCTTTTAAACTTGTCGAAACAGGTACTCCCTTACCAACGGCACTTGAAATAAAGGAAGGCTTGAATGGTATCTAGTCAGTCATGTTGTATGAATTACTAGAAGTCATGTGTCTAACTAATAATATGTTTCAAGTACCTCTAAGGCAACACTATTAAATAGTTTAGTGCACTACAAGTTGCGAGGTTGGTAACCAATACTTATAAATTGGTTTCAGTTTATTGCTTTTTTAGACAGGCTCTGTTCTGGCTTAGTGATCCATAATAGATCAGCCCCAGATTTCACCATTTTTTGCAGTTCAAGGTAATTTCTTGCCGATTGCCTGCTCAAATCTTCATTAAATCATCAGATGATTGGCTCATCAGTGGAAATTTGGTTAACCTATCGCACCGATTGTTTTCATTAGCTTTTGATTATTATACTTCAGAAATCTAAGCTCTAAGCTACGTGAAATAACTACGTAACTAGATCACATTATGGAAATCTGAGTCAAGATTAATTCGGAAGCATAATATATCCTTTGTACTAAGATAGTTTCTGAACAAAGAGCAGATATCAAATTGTTCGTAGTTCGTGAGAAAGTTGTAACTAAGTTTATTGAGTATTATTAGTACCTCCTTTGTGTAGTCACAAGTGTGCATGTCAGGGCTTGTTATCCATCTTCTGGATTGGAAAATTTAATTGAATTTTCCAGATTGTTTGTTTATAGGTACTTTAACATAACCAGATTGGCGATATATTAAAGAAGGGTCAAATTAAAAGTACTCTTAACCAACGAGCATGCATGAATAGACTGATGACTGTTGATGAAGCGAAAGAGGAATGTAATTATCGTGGCAATTGGCCTTTCATAGTCTCTGGTTACCCCATGGGAGATAAGTTATATGTATTTATGTCCCCTCCTCCTCCCTCATCGTCGTCATGTACATTTTTTGATTGCATAATTTTTACACTCATTGTAACTTACAATTAGCTTACAATTTGTAAGCCTTCATCAGTCCCTGTAAATATGGACTAATTGAAATAAAAACTTTGATTTTCAATATAATTAGGTACGACGGTCGACTGTAACCATCCTGATTGTAATATAATAAGCTTTTAAATTTTTGACTCGTCGTTACGACTATCATCGTATGAAAATTAAAATCGGTAGTTTAACCTGTTTTCTAAGGAATTGCGTTGCAAATAATAGAATTTTCAGAATCTGGCCTACTACCACATAAACATACAATAGAACTTTTGTGAAAAAGTAACTCATGAGTTTTACATTTTTTATTTAGGTATTTGTAACGGGTGCGGCCACTATCTCCCCTGGTAGTAAGCGATGATGCGGCCTACGATGAAGCACACGTGCTCATAAGCAACCTATTCTTATGATTTAATAAAACTTCCTCTTACAGACGGGGTCGAAGAATATTCCTGCTGCAGATGTTGATAGTGTGCTTCGTGCCGCACGTGGCTCTTGTCATCCAGAACTGCTCCAACATGGCTCAGCTCTCACAAACTTTAGACTCCTCGCTGTATCTAGATACTGAGGTAAATAACACTTTAATTATAATGGTGGTAAAGTTTAAAAAGTGTACATGTTAAATAGGCTAGATAAATAGCTAACTGCATATTATTGAATGCCATTACGTTAAAATGTAATCTTAGCAATAGTTAATTCGAAGAGCCATCAGACCACTACAAATGGGGCCTAATAGGGCTGATGCCCATAAAGAGCCGGAAAGGACTTAACAGTGCAGGAGTAGGAACGGGGTGGTTTTTAGTCAGTATGAATTTGACACTCCCTCTGGCCTCACCGGGGCGGGAGAAGTCATTGTATAATTTTCCCACTCAAAAAAGCTATAGGTAGTTTAGGTATAGATTAACAATAGTACCTAATAATCACAAAAAATCATAATTATAAGTTTAAATACTTAATTCTTATTAATATTACAAGACCTTATTTTAATTGTATTTGTACAATCCGTTAGCTTTGTTTTTACCTACGTTTATTATACGCGTAGAAAATCCCGTGAGCAACGAAAAAACCCTAACATGTCGTTTCAAGTGCTACCTAAGCCTACGACTTCAACCGCATTAAATATCATGCAAATAAAAAATTAAATATATATAAGTACGGTGGCCAGTAGGCTTTTTTATGCAATAACCCAGTAAACGAGCAGACGGATCACCTGATCGTAAGCAATCGGCGACCCCCATGGCACCCGGAACACCAGAGGCGTAACCAGTGCGTTACCGGCCTTTTGGGGATTACAATTTTGTGGATTGTTAAGGACTCAGGGATTGGAGAGATTATGGGGGGGGGGGGTAATTCGGCCTCCAGTAACCTCACTCACAAACATCTCATACAGGACCTGTCGACATGGCTCCTCCTGGTTTACAGGAGTTACAGCGGTTTTGGGAGGCTGTAGCAGGCTTGTCCCAATAAAAAAGGACCTGTTGACATACTATGGTGCTTGGCGACTGGATTTATCCCAGCTGTGCAGTCTTTTTTGTGGCTTTAGGCTTACGTTATTCTGTATCCTCTATAATCTTTAGCTACTGATATGGACAGAGTTCAGTCATGCCCCTGGGAGTGGACTTCAGTGTTCCGGTGTTTTTATGGTTGTATCTACTGTAGACCGTGGCATATAGGAGTTGCAGCGCTTTTAAAAGGTTGTGGCGGGCTTGTTCCAAAAAAGATCGTCCGTAGCTCTGGGTGCAACTAACACTTAGCCTCCTTTAGCGGTTGACCGCCGAGGCGGTTGCATGTTAAATCGAAAAAACGGGCAACCACAGGTAGCGGCTAGCCGTACGGTTGACGGCTAATGTGTAAGGGGGCTTATATTGATTGTTTTTAAAACAAATTTCCTTCATAATTTAAAATACAAAAACACCTTCATTGTAATTACTTATGTTTTACTAAATAAATATATCTTAAGTATATCCTAAAATAACAATAATTTAGGTACGCAAACAAAAGTGCTTGCGAAACAAGGATAAGCTTGGTAAACAAAGATTTATCATACTTATTCTTGTTTCATTCAATGTAATAAACGAATTGTTTGAGGATACATGTCATTAAATATCCACCATGCGAACTTGCGCACAATGTTTTACCACAATATAAAATATAGACTACGGTTTGACTATGTGCTTAAGTTGTACATAAACATACCATCACGCTTTTTCCATCCATACCATCCCCGAAGGGGTAGGTAGAGGTGCACATTACGGCTCTTAAACTGTCAAACACCAAGCGGTCACCGGTGACCGCAACCTATTGTTCTATAATTGTGTCTATAATGACGGTATTCGACGAGTTAATACCACTGTACAATGCAATACCCACTTTTCACTATTTATCTTATGACCCCCATGTAATAAGGGGGTGAGCCTATTGCTATATATCGGGCACAATTCCAGACTCCGTGCTACGAATGAGATTTTTTTTTAAATAAAGTATTGAACTTGCGCTTGCGACCACTCGGCGAACGAGGAAGTCTCAGTGAATAAAATGTTCTTTTATTAACCCTAATACCTTGCGTACGTCATTAGATAGTACTTTTGAGCTAATTATAGTTTTAGCAGGAAGAAACAGACTTATTATTGTAAAATTAAATTTACCATTTACGTAAATGGGCTTTGTTTCCAATTAATTGCAGATATCTATATGTATTAGGGAAATATTTACTACTTAATATAACTTAACATTACATTACATCACGCCTTTTATCCCCTAAGGAGTAGGCAGAGGTGCACATTACAGCACTACATGCCACTGTTTTTTTTTTTTTAGTAACGTTACCCCACATTAGGATTTTCACCTGTATCGTGGGTGCGTTTACAAACATACAAGCTCACATACACAATGACACCCAGACCCGGAACAACAATTTGTGGATCACACAAAGTGTTGTTCCGTGTGGGAATCGAACTCGCGACACGTTGCACGGCAGCTGGTTGTCCAGCCACCGCACCAACCGTGCAGTCAAACTGTACAATGTAACACTCAATTTTCACTATTTATGTTATGAGTCCCATGTAATAGGGGGTGAGCCTATTGCCATATACCGGGAACAATTCCAGACTGCGTGCTGAGAATAAAAAAAAACAATAGTACTTTAATAATTTTACTCATAAAAATAAAACCAAGTTGGGCTACATTGGCTGTGTAGCAAATTCGATGGCAATCCAGCTTTACATTTTGTTAAATCCTATCAATAAGGCTGTCCTTAGTATGATCCAGTTACGTCACGTCAAACCTGAAAGCATATTACATTTCATTTGGAACAGTATTTTCGAAAGTCATTCAAACAGGTGAACTCTTTTGCAGAGGCATGTCAAAGACTGTCGTATAAGATCAGTCGCGTCAGTAAATAATGACTTGGCAAATACCTAATGAATGTCTTGTCTATGCAAAAGGTCATTGTTTATTTCATAGTGTATAGGATATTCCTATTTAGATTCGATTGAAAAGTTACGACATTTATCAACTTTGGCAAATTTTCGGCTAGTCTAGCGTATTTTTTTTATGGTATAAGCTGGTAAACGAGCAGACGGATCATATGGTAAGCAATCGGCACCGCCCATGGACACCTGGAACACCGAGGCGTTACAAGTGCGTTACCGGCCTTTTGGGAATTGGGAATTTGAGCATTGTGCAGGATACAGGAATTGGGGACAGTGGGGAGGGGGGAGGTAATTAGGCTTCCAGTAACCTCATTCACACGACGAAACACAACGCAAGCGTTGCTTCACGTCGGTTTTCTGTGAGGCCGTGGTACCACTCCGGTCGTGCCGGCCCATAAGCATGGCTCTTCCTCACTTAAATATTATACATAGAAAAAAATATATAGTATAAATTGTAGAAACTTCCATTATAAAACATGTCTATATATATCAGTTCAGCTAATTATATCTTAACCAGCAGTGTGTTACAAAGGCCCTAAGTGGTTGTTTAATATCTCTAAGATTGAGGTTCATAATTAAATTGTTACTAGTTTTATTCTGTTTGTTCCCAGGTGAACACAATCTTGCTGATGGGAGATCTCATCGTCAGTCTTCAGGATGAGAGACAGATCATCAGCGAGTATCTGCTCAAATCATCAGTATTTGATGTGTAAGTATTATTTGCAATATAAACACTGACGCATAAAGTTATGGACCGATTTTCGTCACACTCAATCTTCTAATCCTAAAACAAGCCGGCAAAGAACTTGTAACCCCTTTCTTGTCCATCGGCAGCGCGCGATATTTGCCATCAAGTGAAACAAGTGAGTGAATTTATTTCTGCAAATAGGCTACAAGGCAGCACTTTTACACGTCAATTTTATCAAGCGAACGATGAGGTCGACAAACGCCGAAACAAACTCAGGAAACAACATCACATGGCCTATCTATTTGATGTCACCCTATCTTATAAAAAGAGTTGGTTCCATTGTCACCAAGTCAGAATGTGATCATATAATTCGTGACGTCCGAAAATGTGCTACTTTTTGCTTATAAAATAATATCGTAGGTAGGCAGGCATGCCTAGCTTCACTGACAGACAGAAATTGAAATAAATCCTTCAACTTTGACAAACGCGTGATAAGTTAGATACTATTGAAGGGGGTAAAATCATCAAATAACTCTTCCTGCCTTGGATGAAGTGAAAGGGAGTGTCAGACTTTTAATGAGCAAAAACCATCCCAGTCTAACTTCTGCTTTGAGTCGGAGCCTCTATAACCCTTGCGGTTTTCGCCGCCCCGGAAAATCTGTTTTCCCTGCGAATACGTTTAAGAAATAGCATGTATGATTTTAAGTCTAACTTGTAGTAGGACAAAGAGTAATTGAAAATCGTGTATACCTCTACATATGTGCATTTAGTAAATTCTACGTTTTCCTTGAATATTGTTATCATGGGTCATTGCACCAATTTAAAATGTACTATTTAAATTGCACCTATTTAAATAACATAAACATGGTATGGGGAAACCCATTCACTGTTTAAATGATGTATCTGTGTGACGATGTACTCAATGAAATAATATTAATTAACTATTGTTCTCGATTTCATTCACACGTAATAATATTTTTTCCTATTCTGTGGGATTTTTCATACATTAATTCTACGTTTCTTAGTACGTAAGGGGAAGTCCCGTAACGCCGGAGACGGCACCTAACTCTGAACACTTGTATTATCCCGATAACTGATAACACGAGCGATTCAATTTTTACTAAAAATCTTATGTGTCTGCCACTGGGAGACTTCCCCCAAAAATTGAATCGCTCGCGTTATTAGTTATCGAGATAATACGTTAGGTGCCATCCTTCGTTAAAGGACTTCCTCTATGTATTGAAAATAATTTTCACGACTTTTAATTTTCAATGTGCAGTTTATCAATTAGTCACGACAAAATTCATGATTCTTGTGAGAATTTCAGAATGGAAACAAAATTAAAAGTCATGGAATTGTGACCGTATCCTGTATCTACATATATTATTCGTACTTAATTATGTAATATTATCTATGTTTATGTATAATGAACATTTTACAGTAATTATTTTCCTGTTCTGGAATCTACCAATTTATTTAGTTAGGTACTAAAAGAGAATAATTACGTGTCGTATACTTTACTCATGTAAAACCATTCAGAGGTTGTCATGACAACGTCCCACATCTTTTATATTTTTTTCTAAGATTTTCTCGGTATTTGTTTACAAAATATCATCTTTAGTAGGTATCTTTTATTTGTGGAAAAATCGATAGTCAATTTTCTTATGAGTCCTTTTTATTGAGCAAGTAGATATGATACGGACGGGGGTAGACAGAAGTGTATGATCACATATATAATTATACACACAAGGCTCTTTTTCGTTACATCAGTAGGATCTAGAAAGAAAGAGAGAGAGAAAGAAAGAAAAAACTTTATTTCACACGCTAAAACAGGTGACAATGACTGCTTTTACACATAAATACCAACTAATGTCCCAAGTCAGCGGTGAAATGGGACCAGTTCAGCATGTGCAAGACAGGGCCTCGCGTTGGTAATCTACTGGCCCCTTAAGTGACTCCACTCCATCTAGCAACAGTATCCTACAAATTTTCGAGAGTGTGGTGCTTTTCGCAAACCCGCTCGTAAGAGGATGCTCTTAATAACTAGGCTGGCGTTTGGTAACCATCAAACCTGGCAGTCAATGATGATGTGGCTGATGATGGAATACCTAGCATAATTTATCACACACTACGCACAATCCCAGATCCATTTACTACGTACTGAGAATTGTCTAATACATGAATCAACCCAAGACCCGTTGTTCAGTAGTAACATAAAGGACTGCTTGATTAAAGCTTATCTAGTAGTAATTTGAACTTAATACATCATTTAATATGATTGATTTTCCTTTGCTTTCAGAAGCGCTCTACAAGAGGCGTTTACAACACTTGCCGATCAGCTCACCAGTGTTCCTGATATTCAAGACCATTTGATGACATTGTAGTAAGTTTTGGAATACACTTACTAATGGTCACATATAATACAATATCATTTGGGGATTTTGCCACTATCTCAACACGTGTCAGGGTACCCGTCTAAAGTTAGTAGGTCACGGAAAATTTAGAGGTTGCTGCTACCCATCTTTCTGTTTCTAGTTGCATTTTCGCACAGAGAACAGACATAAAAATTACGCAAAGAAACTGAGAAATTCTACCCTTTAAATAAAATTAAATAACTCTTTGACTGGTCCAAGAGCGAATCTTTTTTTTTTTGGCATAAGCCGGTAAACGAGCAGGTAGATTACCTGATTGTAAGCAATCGGCGTCGCCCATGGACACCTGGAACACCAGAGGCGTTACAAGTGCGTTTGCCTTGTGCCTTTTGGGGATTAGGAGTTTTAGGATTGTTAGGGATTCAGGGATTGGGGAGATTGGGGAAGGGGAGGGTAATTGGGCCTCCGGTAACCTCACTCATACGACGAAACACAACGTAAGCGTTGCTTCACGTCGGTTTTTTGCGAGGCCGTGGTATCACTCCGGTCGAGCCGGCCCATTCGTGCCGAAGCATGGCTCTCCTACACATAAAAGTCAAGAATACGAGAATACACTCATCAGAGGGAGCATTCTCCAATATTTTCAGCGAACAATCGTTTCCTTTATTGATCAATATTCTATAGATAAGTATGGATACTGGTCGTTAATATTCACATTACGCGGTATTAGTATTGATTGCGTTCACCATCACGACCTTATATACGTAAAGTCATTAGGTCCCCATCATTTGAAGAATTCTATGAAATAAATACGTGTTGGTATGACTAATAAGATTGTGTACACATAGGAGATATTTTCCTCTATCAGCTTCGGTTAACCACATCGTGCGTTCCTGTTGGATAAAAAATAACTTACGTGTTGTTATAGATTATAATCTATCCCTGTTCCAAATTCCATCTCGATCCTTTAGCCGTTCTCCGTGATTGAGTAACAAAGATATATACAAACTCACTAACAACCTATATAATAACTTTATTTAATTACCGAATTATATCTATAAATATTTCTTATGAACAAAAAGTCCTACAAAGGTTGTCAGGAGGCGATCGTAGTACGAGATAGTATCTTCCTTTAATGTACAAACCTCAAAAGTTCCCCTTGTACACCTTACCTTAATGTAATTGCGACAATTAAAGTGTTGAAATAAAATTTATTGTAATCTTTCCATGCAGCCATTTTAGGGAAGATCTTATAAATATCAAGTAAGTATCTGTTAATTAATAATATTGATATTTAAAGAACCTGTTGACCTTGTCCGTCGGACCTCGATTTGTCTTGAGTCGTTGTACCGTTAGTGCATTGACTGGGTGAATGACTGCTCAGTTATATTTTGAGGACTGAACTCCTGACCGAAATAAGTATAATATGACATCTACAGGTGGTTGTTTTTGTTGGATGTGATTGAAAGAATTTGTGGTTAATTGTGACATTTTTTTAAGCTTTGCCCCACTCTTTGTTATGAGTAATAGGTGAAAAATGGGTGTTACATTGTACAGTGGCATTAAGCGCGGTAATCTGCACTTCTGTCTACCCCTTCGGAGATAAAAAGGCGTGATGTCGTTATGTTATGTTACTAGGTGTAATAATTTCATGTGCAGTCTAACTGGGAACTATAATTTAATATGGGGATTACACAAAGAATAGTTCGTGCAAGGATATATGTATAATGCAAATAAATAAAAGAGTCATTAGAATCAAAACGGGACAGGATTAGGTATTCATTTGAAAAGGCACAATCACAGGGATGTTTAATGATACTCTGTGAATAATACAGTCAATTCGTCTGGATACTTTCATAGAGGAATTTAATATAAATTTCGAAGATCAGTATTTGATATGAAGTTGAACATAAAGCTGATTTCTATAGGGACTCTACTCAAAATGTTTTATACGCAATGCGGGCAAAGGGCGTGAAGCCGTGAACATTTTCGGTGTACCTATTATGCGAACTTTCGCAATGACTGCGATATTCGCTTTATTACAAATATCTTCATTCGATTATTCTGGTATAGTAAATGTTACTAAAAGACGGAATTTATCAGAAAATGATTCAACGTTTAAGTTTAAGACTGACATATTGAAGACATATTGAATATGTCTCAGATCTAAATATTTAAGTCAAAATCAAAATCATTTATTTCAATTAGACCAGGAAGGCACTTTTGAACGTCAACAACAAAAATTTAGAAGTGAAGCTAGTTGCTCATACCAAGTCGTATATTCCTATGGAGAAGAACGAGCAAGAAACTCCATAGGTTACTCTTTTTTAATCGGGTTTACAATTCAATTATCTAGTTACATAGTTTTGTTGGTTCGATTGTGTGAGAACAATGCAACACCTAAATCCGGTCAAATTGATTGAAAAAGAAAATAATGTTGAGGTCAATAAAATCATATAGTCTGAAGCTGACCAGTCCCAATGGACGGCGCCCGTTCACGAGCTGTACAAAAATTAGTCTGTCATATTACTATTGTTATACGAGTCATATCGCACGATGAACGCGAAAGATACATGTTATATTTAAGCATCAAGTAATAGAATTTCACGACTTTATATGTTAAAGTATACCCAATTATACTGAAAAAACAATGCAAAATATATCTATATATTTTGTTAAAAATCACACACATTAATTTATTTTAAAACAACGAAAATTTGTATAAAAATACAGCTTTCAATCCAGGTTACCATTTACCTCGGTAAAATGAATACAAACGTTATTTCTGCCATGTTTTTGTTTAAAACCATACAACTCGGATTAACAAAAGCTTATTTAAATTTTATTGAATAGTTGCGGCTTTTACCAGCTTCGCATGGGTGCTACTGAAACTGAAATGCATAATATTACATAATTACATTAAAATTGAAATTTTCCTGTTTGGTATAGTTTTTCCTATGTACTTAAAATATAAATGTCTAATACTAGCGACCCGCCCCGGCTTTGCACGGGTGCAATATGTATGTATTCCACATATAAATCTTCCTTAAGAATCACTTTATCTAATAAAAAAACCGCATCAAAAACCGTTGCGCAGTTTTAAATATCTGAGCATACATAGGGACAGACAGTCGGTGGATAGCGACTTTGTTTCGTTTTATACTATGTAGTGATTATGCGTATAAGCAAAAATAATTACAATACCTACTCGTGTGCACAAAGCCGGTGTAAAAAGCCTATAAGAAGTTACCTTTTTGCAATTAAGCATTTTGGATTTTGTAGTTTCGAGATTTCGAGTTGTGATGTCATTTTTTGCATGAAATTAACCAATTATACATGATTTTATATTTATATTTGTTTTCACAATCAAATTACATAGGTACTTTATTATTTTGTAAATGTGATTATTTTTAAGATGTTCGAAGAAATCTATTCTAGTGTATTGAAAAGCAAAACAATTCGTTTCGTCAGAAAAATATCCCAATTGTTTGACGTGCGTAATTGTTGATTGTGGCTATTGTTTGCTAAACTAAAGCCATTGCAACTAAAGTTCCAAGAAAGTAAAATTATAAGAAAACAAACTACTATGCAACTGAAATTATTTACTTTTTTTATAGGATAAGCCGGAAAACGAGGAGACAGATCACCTGATGGTAAGCAATTGGTGTCGCCCATGGACACCTGGAACTGGTTACAAGAGTGTTACCGGCCTTTTAGGGATTAGGAATTTGAGGATTGTTGGGGATTTAGGGATTGGGGAGATTGGGGAGGGGGGTAAATAGGCCTCCGGTTACCTCACTCACACGACGAAATACAACGCAAGCGTTGTTTCACGTCTGTTTTCTGTGAGGCCGTGGAACGTGGTACTCTGGCTGAGTAGGCCTATTCGTGCCGACTCGACCGGAGCATAGTTGTCCCAAAAAAGATGATAAAAGATGATCAAAGAGCGCAATTATAATTTCCCTTTTCTGTGTTTCAGGAATCTGAAAGCGGAGGCTTTCAAAAGGACGAGAGTTTACGAAGAAATTAATACACTACTACTTATAAACGTTGCGAGGAATGTCAAAAGTACTACATCGTCTTTATGGAGGTGAGAATGAGGACTATTTTGCTTTAAATTTTATGAGGGTTTTTGTAATTTCATGTGTGAATGTCGACTATTCATGGGAAGGTATGTATCATATATATCCATATTATTATGTATTATGTATAGCACGTGTTTATATCCAAATATCGGCTACAACTTTAGAGTCTCTGCAATTTCGTCTTTTTACTATAAAAACAATGTTAGAACGTACAAATATTTCGGAAAAAGTCACATTGGTACCTACTTACCGTTGTAACGTTTCTAATCCGCGCCCTCACGCATTAAAGGGGGCGTCTTTCACCACGACACTGATAACTCTGATAAGATTATTTAGACTAACGGTGAAGGAAAACATCGTGAGGAAACCAGGGTTTATAATTTCTAAGTATAAGTTTGAAATCGCCAACCCGAATTGAGCAAGCGTGGTGATTAATGCTCGAATCTTCTCCGTGGGACAAGAGGCTTTGTTCAGCAGTGGGCACTTAGTAGGCTGTTGATATTGAAGCTACAAAAATAGCTTTTTATAATGAAACATTTTAATTTTTTGTTTTTTTTTTCATAGAAAATGCATTGTAGTTGTTTATTAGAAACCTAGAAAGAGTTAAAACCATTAATTTATCAAGCAATCGGGTAGTAAGACGCCCCATATAGTTGCACACAATAGGTAGAGATTCCAGTCTTGGCTGGATGTGGATTTTATAATGAAATGCAAGTTTACATCACTATAGACTATGGGTCTCCGATGTCACGGAGAACCTAACGGGTATTCGGGGCTCCGGCTCGACGTGCAGGAGAAGGAACGGGGTGGTTTTTAGTCAGTAAGAGTCTGACACTCCCTCCCGCCTCACCCAGGCGGGAGCAGTCATTCGATAATTTTCCCCCCTTAAAAAAAAA